GGTGTGACACCGCAGCCCATCCCAGATTCTATGCGCCTGAATGTTATGTTCCTCTTGTCCACTCAAGTAATAGATTTTTTTTAAACTATATTGTATAAAAAAGAGGGTGAGGTTACAAGACTTTCAATGAACATTTTCAAAACTAAAAGTTACATTCAGAAAGGGGGAACAATCCCTCCCTCTTCTCCGATTCTTTGTGCCTGAATATTACGTTCACTTGAGTGGAATTCAGATGCAGGTGAAATAACTTTCAGAATTTTTTCAATCTAATTTTAGTTCAATGTAGGAAAAATAAATCATCATGTTCACCTGGAAAGTAAATAAAATGGCCTGTCTTTATTTATAAATTGAAAACATTAATCTACTTCAATATACACTGTATTGAAATGTTTTCATATTGATTGACAAATGTATCACTGTTTTAAAGTGGATTAAAGAAATATTCCTCTTACATGTATGTATCTTATTCTCAGACGACCATGTTAACAGGCTTGAATGTACATTATACTGGGGTTCTTATCACATTATTCCGATCACAGAGCGGGCGCTCTACTGACTGAGCTACCGTGACGGCTTATGTCAAGAAGAAAAGGGGCTGCATTAAAATGACATTAATCCTCAAAAGGATACAATAGAATCACTGGACTAAATGTTGCATAAACATATCCATCGCTAAGAATTTAAAAGTAGTAGTTAACTTTACTTGTCAATATCACATTGAAATGTCGCAAGAGCAACAGACGAAGCAGAGCCGGGTTTCACAAAACTATCGTACGATTTGTCCTAAGACAGATCTTAAGATCATCTTAAGATATGACTTAAGATCATCTTAAGATCTGACCTAAGACAATCAAAAGATCTGTCAATGCTGTTTCACAAAAATGTCTTTAATATAAGAAATATAAGACAAGTCTAGATCTTAAGACAAATTTAATGCTTGAATATTACATGTACAAGGACATTTACAAAAAAAAATTGCTCTCAGTTTAGTGGTCTTTCTTTAATTTCCTTTTAAATGTTGAAATAATGGTGTGTCTCAAATATTTCTTTTGCAGTAAAACTCTTGGGGGGAAAAAAAATATTGCATCAACATTGTACGGGGGGGGGGGGGGGGCAAAATAGCCAAATTTAAATAAATTTCAGTTCAACAAATTTATTTTAAAAAATTGCTTAAATGTTATTTTGCTCAGAAAAAAGTAGTTGCTGACAAATTGTGATACTATACTTTTGATTAAATCCACTACTGTGCCTTTGCAAATAATGATTTTCCACTAAATTCAGTTGAAACACCAAATCCTGTTCAAAGTCCCCAGGTTCGTTCATAAAAATCTATAATTTCAGTTTGGGGGGGGGGGGGCAACTAAACAAAAATTCCTGGAATAGAATAATTGGGCACAACCATAAAGTAGCTACATTTTATGTTTTCTATCGTATAGTATTTACCGGCAAAATCACTACATATAGGTGGAGTGGGGGGGGGGGGTCATTGTTTCGACAGGCCTGATCTAGTCCAAAGGATTTTTTCTCTCTAAAAACCGTTCTCTTTAAAATAATCCGTCAGTTTTTAGCCAAAAAAATACTGTCACATTGTTCACTTTTTAGACTAAAGACAGGGGTCTAATTACCTAAGATTAAGTTAGATCTTAAGATTATCATAAGATATGAGAGTTTTGTGAAACAGCTATAGTGCAGTCTTACGATAATTTTTGGTCTTAAAAAAGATCTTAATCGTAAGATAGTTTTGTGAAACGGGCCCCAGGCCGACACGTTCTACTGTTTGTTTCAGAAGCAGTCACGCATTCTTCATATCAAGCCTTTCTCACTGTGTAGAATGTTTATAGAAAAGAAGAGCCATCTTCGGTCTAATCTTCAGGAACTGGGTTTATGAGAGTACTTTTTGCAAATTGTGCGTGACTATTTTAACATTAAGGGTATACAGGAAAGAGTTTGCTACATGTACCATTTAACTATCACTCCGTCTTAATTATGCAATTCACAGGCACACGTCTCTTATACCTCAACAGTTATTTGTAGAAAATAATGTGTAGTGTTTGAGAATCACAGTATCAATTGAAAAATAATGGCGCTTAGTTTTGCATCTATGATATTTCATTTTGCATTTTTTCCATACAAAATATACATATTACCAGAATTGACGAGGAGCCATACTTCATATTATTATCATACAAATTTCTTTTTTTTTCAATAAGAAAAAAGTATGTGTAATCGCATTTATTTAAAAGTTATGCATCCTGTTAATATCTACATCTAAAATTTTGAAAAAAAATGAATTTTGAATTATGTTTTTCACAAAAATCAAGTCCTGCCAAAGACGTTAGAGCCTAAGAAGACAATAAAGGACTTTACATAGATTAAAACCTTATTATCAGGTACGTGCATCTCTGCACAATTCTAAAACCTTGAGCAAGTTTTTTACCCATATTTTAAATGCAACCTTCATCAATCATTTTGGAGAATATTACTTAAGGAATGAATTTAACAGCTACCAAAATTATACGGTATAAATTGGGTTGGGGCAGTTTATAAAAAAGCGTAAACTGTTCCAAAGCGGGACGTAAATCAACACACGTATAAGGGATAATGTTTCAATAATTGTCACAAACTGATCAAAATCAAAAAATCAAAAAGCTAAAATGTTTGAATGAAAGATTATAGCAGTTATAGTTTCACACTGGGTTTTTTGTTACACCTTCGGTGAAACTTAAGGGATCAGCTCTGTGGCTACTGAGCTACCCGCTTTCACAGGGGATCTGATTGGAACAAATTAAAAGTTCATAATTAGAATTTAAAGATGAAGTTTATTCATAGAAAGCAGGACAGAAAGTGTAAACAAATCATTAAGAAATTAATATAACAAAATACGTAAAATCTATATTCACCACTCCGGAATTCTACAGTTACTAAACATTGCCAATATTCTCAAAGTAATATAAAAGTAAATAAGCCGAAAGAAAGAAACTAATGCTTACCTAATCTAACATCTTGTTTATGTTTGTGTGATTGATCCGAATAAAAAACAAACATAACAAAAATACTTACTTAGAAATTTTCACTTTCATTTTGTAAACAAAGTTATTCTTAACTCCTCAGACTAGAGAGTTCCGAAGCGGTAAATTCAAACTGACAAAGTTACAAAGCATTTAACTGAAAACAGAAAATCATAAATCAAATTGCAAATGACAATGAAGATTTAAACAGTAAAATTAAATTCCTTTTTTTAACACAGATTTTACAAAATAAAACAAGATAAGGGAAAGAAGAAGAACAGTTTTAAAATGTTTCCATGACAAACAAATTAAGATTTAAAAACAATTGTAAATAGCAAATGAAAGATAACTTTTGAAAATATAAAATAAATTAAAAATTTAATTCAATTTCTAAATATTCTTAGAGAAAGAAATTAAATAGATTAATTCTAAAAATGATTTAGCTTACCTGATTGGAACAAATCAAAAGTCCGTAAATAAAATTTAAAGATGAAGTTTGTTCGTAGAGAGCAGGACAGAAAGTGAATTTGCTAAAATCAGCAAAATTACGGACTTACATGATTTGACCAATCAAGCTGCATGCTACAAAAATTATTTACCTATTCGGGTTCCCTTTGATGTATGGCACAATTTGTTCAAAAGTCCGAAGGTGATATATATAAGTACACGTATTTACGCGGAGAGTTTTTATAACAAAGAACGAATAAACTTTAGCCGAAACAAAGTAAATAAGTTTATCTTCGAGGAATTTTGACGTGTCATACTAATTGCCTTAAAAGAGTAATTTCTATAGAGCTGAAGCTGGAAAGAATTTATCTATTTGTACACCGGATGTCAGAATAGTTTGATCATAATTGACACATTGATTGGTGACAAATGAAGGTGTAATTGAGTTTTGATGTTGAGAAATTTTTATAAAAACACTTTAAAGAAGAGAAACAAATAATTAAGAATAAGGAAGAATTACTCAAAATTATTTCTCCTACATGAAGCGTTTAAATAAGATACTTGTGGAAAAATTTCAATTAAAATTAAAAAAAATGATATTGTTTAAAAATATGATTTTAACTTATATAACCTGTTACATTTATTAAAGTTTTGTAATTTAAGAAATTCAAAACTATTTATAACATTCTCCCCTCCTGCAAAAATTGTTATAGATAGTTTTGAATTTCTTAAATTGCAAAACTTTAATGTAACAATAGCTCCTTTAATTCTCTTTCTTTCTCAAATTTTGACACTGACTTATTATCTGGATCATTAAATGAAACGAACTTGGAGGGGCCCTATGATAATGATCCCTAGACTTATAAGTGTCTGTTTTTATTCGGACTATATAAAATTTAATAATATTCCCTCCCAATTAAAAACACATATTTTTAAACTAACATTTCTTGATATATCTTTACAGAATAAACATATCTAATTGCATAAATCAAGAAAAAAATATGTTATTCTTATTAAAGACAATATCAACTCTTAAGCCAATCTGATTAAAATCATATCCTTTGATCCGCTCACATAGATCGCTACACAAGGATCTGAAGAAACTCCATTCAGGGTCATCTCCTGGTGACCTTTCTAATAAAATATTCATTAAAATTTTGACCAATGAGAGAGAGCCTTCTTAAGCGTCATTCGGGAAAATGAATGTAGAAGTGTAAGTAGCTGTGGAGAAGATCTTATCGTTTCGTACTAGAGAAAGAGCTAAAAAAAACAATGCAAAAGCAAGTACTGAATATACTTCTGTACAGAAAAGACTGTGGTCGTTCTTTTGAAAGGCTAAGGAAACCAGGTCACAATTTTCCGTTCGTGTATCATCGCGGCTTTCAATGTTTCACTTCTGTAACTGAATTCAGCGATACTTCTAAATTCTTGCAAGCAAACGTTTGATTGGATAATTGAAAGGTCACCGGGAGATGACCCTGAAAGGGGTTCTTCAGATCCTTGTGTAGCGATCTATTTGAGCGGATCAAAGGATCTGATTTTAATCAGATTGCTCTTAAGCCTGATCATCATCCTTTTATTCCTCAAGGAACGATTTTCATTTCCAAATTGGTACCATACAACAGAGGCCCACTTTTGTACAGCAGATCTGTGGTAAGGTCTGTTTAGGTCACAATTTAGACAGCTTTTGAACCACCATCCGCCTTTATATACCACAGCACATGATTTGCCCCACGAGTCATTGTCTTGGGCTTTCGTGGAAAACAGTCCACCACTGTGCTGTCCAAAGCTATCCCCTGAAATTCATTTAAGTTTTATCTACATTTATTACTTGTCCTAGACAATGGATATTTTCTTCCTTTCTATCTAGAACTTTCTTGTACTTTCACCAGATTTTTTTATACTGTAAATGCATAATCTTCATAGATAGGTGTTTAAATTTCATTAAATAAGTTTCATTAGGCACTAGGTCAATACTTTTCTGTTATTACCTGCAGTACCACTGTACCCATCCAAGGTCAAGTTGTATTTTTGGGACTCGTTTCCAATAGAAAATGACGAATACTTGGCAAATGCTTTGCTTCCAGAGAAGTTTTGAACATTTATTCTCAATTCCTGTTTTTTCTTTGTTGTAAGGATATGAATGGCTTCATTGCCTCGAAAACATATCAAACTTTCAATCAAAGCATAATCGTAGAATAAGAACCTTAGCTTAAGTGTTACTAGTAATTTACATGTTTCTTGATAATAATAAGTTTTAATGTTATGGAACTTTACACTACATTAGTCATTGTAACAAATAGTGTAATTAAGTATCAGATTGATGAAAGATAGCCAAATAAAGATTTGGTCCATATTTTAAGGTATGAAAATGTTTTAACCTTTGATTTTTTTCAAAGACAATTCAGCGTGTAAATCAAAAAGAAATGCTGTGTTTGTGAAAAACGTAACGAATATTTTTCGTACGCAGATTATTCATTGGAACTGAATGTCACTATCAAGATTTTGTGGATCCACTCTCTGTGCAATATCGTCATGGAACTGAATCAATAAATTGAATTTCTACAATTTGCTTTAATATGTGCTAAAAGTTAATTCTAAGGCCGTGGAGAAAGGTTTTGATCCTTACATCGCGGGCTAAAATCCCACCGAAGGACGTAGAGATTTGTCTTTCAGATGAGAGAATAAACCGAGGTCCTGTGTCGCATTAGGTGTAATTATTTAAAAATCTTTCAATGCTCAATGGAAAGCTCTCCAAAAATTGGTGGCGTCCAAAGTGAAAAATATTCGAGATGACGTAAAGGAAAATAAACAAATTTACTGAATAGAATAATCAACTTGCATAGGGGTATCTTTTGATACGATTAAAGATATATGTAAGAGTGCCTACTGCTTTATGTGTAAAAGATAATGATAACGACTAGTGATCGATCTCAAAAAATCCAAAAACAATACAAATATGTGAAGAGGGCATAAAACACGGACCCCTGGAAATTTCAGAGGTGGGATCAGGTGCCTAGGAGGAGTAAACATCCCCTGTTAACCGGTAAAATCCGGCGTCAGCCCTATGTATTGATCAGGTAGACAGAACTATCCATAGTCATTCCAGGACAAAAGTACAAAAAACAAAGGCCTAACAATTGGTATGAAACAAGTCAGCCAAAATACGACCCAGGTTATATTTGCTAAGATGGTCATTATAACGACCATAAAATTTACGAAATGCTGACTTAAAGGAGGCTGCTGTAATGCCTGTAACATCAACTTATCAGTGAGTAGCCTGTCTATGTCTACCTTTTCTATTACCGAGGAGTTCATCTTGGCCTTACTATAAGATATTAACCTTTTTATATTGATAAAACTTGTAACAGGTTGGGGAAAACGTAAATTACGCTATATTAGCGGTATACCACTATCACAGTGAGATTCCGCTATATTTTCAGCTGTAGTTGTCCTTGATTTCATCAAATAACATACTTGCTGTTTAATTAAAGCGCAAGTCATGTTGGGTATAAAAATGGACAATAATGTGGATCCTTATATGATATGAATTTTATTTAATTTTCTGCCGATGCGTTTAATAATGCAAACACACTTTTAAAGCGGAAGTTAAATTTTAACATAGCAACTAGTGATTGCAGTATTATCATGAGAGTTATTGTTCTTCAAAATATGTTTTAGCGAAAAAAATATTAATCAATTGATTATAAAAAAAAATATGCATCTGAAATTTCTGTTACAATTAAAAGAATTACATGTTAATAGATAGAAATATCTCAATTTAAACGGCTTAAAGAACTGAATATAAATGTTTAATGTGGACTATTACAACTAATTAATAAAATATTGACAATAGAAATTATAAATCAATATTTGTAACATAGCTCTGATTTGAATGAGTTGACTATATATTGGTCCTCATTATCAAACTTTGGCTAGACAATTCATTGGACTGCCTTGGAAAAATTTCCTTGAAAAGTTATCTTTTTTATCGGAGGGATATATCAACTTTAATGAGTTTATTGGATATCTTTTGACTGAAACTGAAAAACGAAATGCAAATGACCAATACCAAAATCTTTCACTTGCAGATCTTCTTGAAATAATCGTTAAAAAGAAATGAACCCTAGTGAAACTTTTAGAGCATAAATTTTCCTTCTATCTACTTGCAAATGATGATTCATAATTGGAATAAAAGGAGAAAATACTATGATAAATGTTATGGGAGAAATTGGCAATTTTTAAACCAGAAAATTGTATGATCTCAATTTTGTGAAGAGTTTAAATAATTCACACGATGATTAATTATTTCATCTCTTACCTAACCAGTATTCTGAATAAACGTTCCCAAATCCGTCTTGGTAGGATTTCCAAGATCTATAGAAATCTACTGATCCGTTAATCCTCCTTTGTATCACCTATTGTTATTATTTTTTTTTTAAAAATTTATTTGTTGAGCATGCTAAATCATTGTGCTAACTTAAAATCTGCATGAAGATTTTTACAGATTTCCATCTCTACATTGAAATAAAGAAAAAAAAGTGACTTTTTTTTCTTTCTGAGAACTTAAATATATTAAATATATTTTCATCAAATATACTTAATCAGCTAGTTAAAATAATAATTAAGTAAAACTCAGAAACTTCCTACCGCCCAGCCCCCTACATCCGTAGTCATGTCACAGTACACCACCTTCTTTGTCTTCATATCAGGGTATATAGTGTAGACTCCATCTTTCCCTTTTGTGTTTGGTATGAATTTTACAATTGATGCACATTCCCTGTATTTTTGAAATTCTGTTTCAAACAATTTGCATGCATAATTATTATTATTTTTAAATTCTAAGAATAAAAACATAATAGGTGCCAGTATCAGTATCTGGTTATTTTTCACAGACTTCTCCAAAAGGTAATCCGACAGTAAATCACCATAAAGAAATTGATTTCTCTATCTGTGCCACACAAAAATGTTATATACTAACTCTTATACTTGCTGAAGTGTCTCCCAGTAAGCCTATTATAGTAAGACAGAAGAGAAATATCAACAGAGACTGGAGTGTCCACTTTGACTGATGTGTTCAGGTGTTTCCAGTTCCAGGGGGTCAACTTCAGCAGAGCCTCAAATTTCCTGAAATTGAAATCACAAAAATCAATAATATATAACATTTCTATATTTTAATAAAATATCAATTATTACTGTTTGTTCATTCTTAATATCGAATTTTTTTTTAGATCTATTTATTTTTTAGAAATTAAAAAAAATATAATTATTAGAACGATACCTTTCAGATGGCCATGCAGTGCAACACAAACAATGTTTTTAATGTGCAACGAGAAACACAATATCACGAAAAAAATATTTTGAATTAGAACCATGTTACTTGTCTGAATAATACATGTACAGAAACATGTACCTCGGAGTTACATATATACATAATTTTGTAACAATTAAAATGTAACATGATATTTGGTTTCGTGACAAGGTGTGTTGACAAATCAATAATTCATATATAAAGGTCGGTAAGGAGGGTCCAAATATTTGACAGTCTATTCTTTGGTAATGGAAATCATATGAAATCATCCATGAATGCACAACAGTAAAAATGTACATTACACTGACCATAATGTGATGACAATTTTCTGATTTAAGGAGGTTGGATCCTGCTGTCAAAAGAATTGAGAATTTTTTGTCCAGTATATGTTTAGAAAACACAAAATGGTGGTTAAAGCGCTTCTTTTGGCGCTGAGGAGCATTCAGTATGACCTTTTTGCACTGTAAACCGCGTCTATCACATAAATCAATTTTCAAGGTTTTTCCTCCAAGCGTTAGCGCTTCATGATAAATATGCAGGCGTGAGGCATTGTAGTTCATGTACCTCATGAATTCTCAAAAATTAATTTCTTATATTTACATTATTTTTCAGATGATTTGCCAAATATTTTTGTCATTCAACGATCATCTTTGAAAAAAAAATGTTTGCACTATTTTTTGACTCCTATTAGGTCACAATGGAAATATTCTTACTCATCCCACGGTAGTTCATGAGAACATGAACTTTTTCTAATTTGCAAAGAATCTTAAGGAAAAATCTTGGAAATGCAAATATTTTGTATCTAAGTTGTTTTGAATAGTCCAACCACAGAGGGATTTATCGTAAATTGTTTAACCCTGGCCACTGTACAGTCATCAGACTTAACTACTTAACTTTAAAAAATTGTATAATATTTCGAATTATTTTTGTAACTAGTGACTGTTTGTTCATAAAGGTAATACTTCCATCGACGATATCAATAAATAACCTTCGTAAAATAAAAAAATATATATATTATTACTTTATTCTTTGGATATTTACAGCCACCGTAGACGACAAACCAACCCTCAGGAAATTTAAAGTGAGTTGTTCCCCATTTCCCCATATATAAAACAAAAGATTACGTGCATATAAGAAAACCAACGTGACACTCTCTCTTTCAACGTCCTCAATATCCTTTTAAAGAATTTGATCAGATCTTTTTCAGATAGCACTTTTCATCACAGATGATCCTCTTTCGATACAGAGTCTATATCATTCAAATACCACCTGCGCCATTTACACACACATGCAAGACTCGCTTTTGATATATTTCTTGCTTCCTACAGCATTCTGGAGTTTTCTCAAGTACAACACAAAATTGTATCGTTGACCTCTTCCTCGTGACGTTCTACAACGTCATCTTTTATTTTGCCTTTTTCAATGAGGACGACATATCTTCTGAAATTGATTTCTTTTCAACGAAGCAAAATATTAAGTCATAATGTGGGATATGAAACGATGTAATAGTACTAAATTTGAATATCTAGGATTTTTTTTTCATCTTACAGAGAATATGACTGCACACATTATTTAATGTATTGTTTATAAATTACTAAATTAGGACTTCCTCTGGAATCCGATTTTTGCAGTTTTTAATTCTAGATAGCAGGACAAAATCAAGATATATTTTTTTTAAATTTTAATACACATCTTTCCAATTTATTTTAAAAACATTTCCACCAAATTTGGATATGGTATGACGTAAAGTTAAAGAGTTATGAGAGAAGTCGGCAAACTTTCCGAAAAAACCCTCGTATATTAAATAAGCATAACTAATTCTGATTTTATTAAAATACTTCAATTTTACCGATTTAAGATGCGTTCATCATTAGCGATTAGTGGTTTATGTCTAAATACATATTATTACTTGAATGTTTTTACTTCAGAGTATTGTTTTTTAAAGAGTGTAGATTTTAAAAAAAAATCTTTAAAGCAAATTTAAAATCTGTAGCTGAAGTCTACATGTACAAATTCACACTTTCCTGTATGCCAAACAAGTTGACTTCAGCTTTTTCATCGCAATTTTCTTTATTTATGTACTAATATTCCGATATCACCTGCACATGGTGCTCATGTTTCCCAACTTATTCGCTACTCAAGAGCAAGCTCTCAGTGTGATCAATTTTTAAACCGAGGGAGGCTACACACACATAAGTTGATGTTACAACAACCTCGTTTAAAGTCAGCATTTCGTTAATTCTATGGTCGTTATAATGACCTTGTTAGCAAATATAACCTATCATAGGGTCTTATTTTGGCTGACTTGTTTTATACCAATTGTTAAGAGTTTGCGTTTATGTGGAGTTTGACTACGGAATGTTCCGTCTATTTGATCAATACCTAGGGCTTACGGCATATGTGACATGTCAACAGGGGATGCTTACTCGTCCTAAGCACCTGATCCCACTTCTGGAATTTCCGGAGGTCCATGTTTTGCCACGTTTACAGATTTGTATCGTTAGTAGTTTTAATGAGATCGTTCGTTATCTTCACCTTTTTCATTATTCCCTTTCTAAAAGAAACCAGTCTCAACATGTTATACATTGTTATTTATCTCCATACAACGTGATCTGAGATTTCTGTGAGATTTAAATCGATTACAATGTACAATCACCTTTTTCTTCTTTACTCTCACTTTGTTTTCTTTTTCTGGACGATTTAAGGTGAAAATCCATATTTTTTTATATACCGCTCTTTTTTAAAAAAATCTTTCGACCACTTACGATATCCATAGTAAGAGGATAAGTATTTAAAGGCTGTCTGAGGTAGCTTCTATGGTATTTAGTGCTATGAGTCTGGTTTGCTTACACTTTTAAAAAAAACTAGCATTAAAATGTAATTCTCTTTATATGAAATCGCTCTGAATATGTACAGTAAGAAAAAAATTATGATTTAAGTAATATATGCATCGGTAATATATTTTTTTTTTATGTAGGTACTTTGCCTGTTCAAATAAACAAAGTAAGATAGATATTAATGTCGTATAATGTACAAAAAGTTACAAATTTACATGTAATTTGTACTTTAAAGTAATCTGGGGATAATAAGTTTAATATGTATATTTTTTTAAAAATGAAAATCATATACTGTTTACTCAAATAGTTCAGTGGGGATTTCCAAACAGATTATTGTCCAATTTTTGTTTATAAAATTTATTTATTTACTTGCCATCAGGAGCTATGAGCATTTGCAATTGATAAAAGATTATATTGAAAAGTTTTAAGAATGATAAACAGACTAATGTGAGTGAATGAAAACGTGTCTTCTGGTTTCTTAAAAACAGAATCACTGAAAGATTGATTGATTCTATGTTGTTTTACGTCCCATTCGATAAAATTTTCACTCATATAGAGACGTCACCATACACCGGTGAAGGGCTTCAAATTTTGACCTTTACTCGGCACTCAGGGTCATTGAGCAGTGAGGGATCTTTATCGTGCCAACGCCTACCGTGACACGGGGCCTCGGTTTTTAAGGTCTCATCCGAAGGACCCGCAACTTTTACTTCAAATGCCGAGCGCATGGCGAAGGAACAGTTGCTACCCATTTTTTATCGACTTAGGTCAGTCGCGGCCAAGATTCGAACTCACGACCTCCCGATCACGGAGCAAGCGCTCTACCGACTGAGCTACCGTGAATGGTTAATCATTGAAGGATCCAGAGGTTACTAAAAGAAAAATATACAGTCAGCCCACTTCCACATTAAACAATTGAAAGGATATTTCGGATTTTTTTTTCTTCCTGTTTCTAATAGAGACAATAATAAGATAAATTCCTGATGAGTTAAAGAATCAAACAATATTTGATACAAATGACCTTGGGATTTTTGGAGGGACCCTGTGTTGATTGATTGATTGTGTTGTTTAACGTCCCATTCAAGAATTTTTCTCTCATATAGAGACGTCACCATACACCGGTGAAGGGCTTCAAATTTTTACCTTTACTCGGCACTCAGGCCGATTGAGCAGTGAGACATCTTTATCGTGCCAACGCCTGCCGCGACACGGAAACTCGGTTTTTAAGGTCTCATCCGAAGGACCCGTAACTTTCACTTCAAAGTGCCAAGCGCATCGCGAAGGAACATTTTTTATCGACTTAGGTCAGTTGCGGCCGTGATTCGATCTCACGACCTCCCGATCACAGAGCGTGCGCTCTACCGACTGATCTACCGTGAACGGTGACCCTGTGTTGAAGATCAGAAACAATTTAGTAACTGCTTTTATTCAAAATATATCATACTTACCTCCAATCAAATACACATATTTTTTCTGATATTTCTTCATAATTTTTTTTTAAACAATGAAACAAATAATTGTATGATTGTGTACAGAATGTTATTCCTATTTTATTTATTTTTAAAACATTTTCAACTCCTGTGCCTAATCACCATTCTTGCATACTTCAAGGAACGATTATCATTTCCGAATTTGTACCAAAAAACAGAGGCCCATCCTTTGACAGCAGATTTATGGTAAGGTCCGTTTAGATAAGAATCTAGTCATTGTTTGAACCACCATCCTCCTTTTACCAGCACAGCGCATGATTTACTCCACGTGTCATTGTCTTCATCTTTCGTGGAAAACGCTCTGTCATTATGAAGCGCTAGGCTATCCCCTGGAATCAATTCATGTCTTCTCAATATTTTTGTTCATATTTCTTTAAAAAATAATTAAAAAAATAATAAAAAATACTTTCCTGAATAAGACAATTCATTAATAGGAAAACATTCTAGAAAGACAATTTTAAAAATGGAAGATGTATAGTTTTATTATGGTCGAAAGTCTGTTATTACCTGCAGTTCCACTATACCCACTAACTGTCAACTTGAATTTTTGGGATTCGTTTCCCACTAAAAATGATGAATATTTGGCAAATGCTTTTTTGCCTGAGAAGTTTTGAAGATCTACACTCAATTCTTGCTTTTCATTCGTCAAAAGAATATGAATGGCTTTGTTACCTAGAAAAATATATAAACTTTTTTCATCATAGCACGATTTAAAAGTGTAATAGCAATAGTTTGTATGTCGATTTATATGATAAAATGATAACATCGTTGAAAATTCCATAAAAAATATTTATTTCATCTTTAGTAAATTAAGTAGAACGTGTAATCAGATTTGAGAACAGTTATAAAAACTTCTAAGGATTGGGGGTATCAAAAGATTTGGACAATTGCAATCTTATCAAAGAGATCAAGACAAAAAGAAGTGACACGAAATAAGATAAGAAATTGTATTATTATAAAATACTTTATATATTTCGAAGGCAGATTATAAAAATGTTATAGTAGCTTATGTTTTGTGTAATTTGTGCGATCGTTTTTGGGTTTAAGGAAAGATTATCTAAGTCTTAGAATAGGATTTACGCCATTTATTACTATTTTAGCTAAAACAGCGAGGGATTACTCATGGCAAAACATTCGTTCAAATGATGGCAGCTTTCCAAGGATGGAAGATTGTTATTTTTATGTTGATTTCCTGCGAACCCCCCCCCCCTTATCTAACTTTTGTTTCAGATTCGTGTAGGCAATCTCCAGAAGTAGTTACACTTTCTTTAAATTTGGGTATTTCTTGCCTCCACGCATAAATTTTAACAAATCGGTACTCTGAGTCTTCAATGACTATGAAATTCTTGACTTTGTTTTTACGACTTGATCATCCATAATAAATAATTATTTATTTAGTCAGCACTACTCTCATTCAATTCAATTTTTTTCCCGAAGGACATATCTGATGAATATTGAAGCAAAAGGTAAATATCGTAATTTTTTATGCGATAAAAGAGTTCAATTCATGAATTCACAAAATATCTATACACTGTATAATGAAAACGTGCAAAATAGTAACATTTTCTGTGAAACATATTTTATCTTAATGATATAACTGTAATTTTTTATTGATCATCGGAAAACAAATTCTTTCCATATTTTTTGGAAAGTATATATATTTTTGTCCGCAAAGTTTTATTGGTTTCATACAAATAGAGATTGTTCTATCTGACGTATCCGTATAAGTATCCGTATCCGTATACGTATCGAGGTGAGAGAGGCATCTCGATCCCGATGTCTGAACTATTTACTATAATTTCCATCGTTATTTGTTTGGTTTTAAAGCAGCCCCATTCATTAAAGAATAGCATATGGTATTTTTTCTAATAAAAAATGTATTAAGCTGCTGTAAAAGTTTGTTATTTTGCTGGAAAATTTAAAAAAAAATAGATAATGAAATTCAATAAATTTGTATTTGTTTTCATTATATTGTTTAAAACTTTAATTGCAATTTTGTTTAAAAACATTTATCTCTCCCTCTTAACATCAGGACATTTTATTGATTGATTCTGTAATTTACATTAGATGACATAAACTTTAACCCCCTCACTCACACACTAAATGCAAAAGACGTTGATATCCACACAATCAATAAAACAGTGTAGCAGTTTTCTAAAGAGAATTTGCTAACTTGAAAAGACTTCGTGGCGACAAAAATAGGTAATGAAATGAAAATTCAATTGTTAAATTTGATTTTTCTTTTTAGTTCTCTTGTTGTCGTACATGTGTATTATAATTCATGGTTTGATATAGAACTGTTTCAAAATAGGGTATTCATTATCTTAACTCTCTTTTTATAAAAAAAGAAAAGAACATTAGACTAAAAAATGCCAAAACAATAGATTTATCTATTTCTTCTATGCTACCTTGTCTTTCCAGCTGATTTTTATTTATTTATATATTTTTATTTTTTTTTATTTATGCATTTTGGCCCAGACTGGGACAAGTGTGAGTCAATTCAACACGCAGTTCATAGAATTGAATAGAAGAGGCTGCTTCAACGTAGCAGAGAAATAAAAAAGAAACACAGAATAAAGGATAAAATTTATACAAAACATTTAATAGATAAAATATCAGCATTTTTTCAGAGTTTTGATCCCGCTTGTACACAAAGAATTACAGTCATCTTAATTTCAATAAATAAATCATTTAAGTAAACTTTAGTCAACATGTATATATATAAAGTAATGTATAAGACATAAAAAAATTTCTCCGTTTATCCCCTTTTGTCGACAATTGTTAATTCATCCTCGACAAAAACTGCGTGTAATTGCATCACTTTCGGAAATCGTAGTCCTTTCTCAAGCTCTCTGGAATTTCGGATACGGCTATCACCTAACAATTTAGGGAATTTAGAGTCTTCAAACCACCCCAGAATTGCCAGTTTTCCAAAGCTTTTCTGGAGATCTATGTCAATCAAATATAATCAAATGATATACAGAATGTTGATAATGATAAAAAAGAAAATGAGGATGGAAATTTTCAGTGACCCCCCCCCCCCCCCCCCCTACACACAGAGTATTCAGTATGGTCACCTTTTTATTGTCAAAGTTTTGATAAGGTGACTTGTCATTTTTTAGTTTAGTTTAGTTTCTCCCTGCCTTGGCCCAGCTTCCCCCTTCTCCACTTTGTTAATCAATTTTAAGTGTCTGCTTGATGTAGACAAACTTATACTCATCTAGAATGTTTGATCTCTGACACCTCGTACAGTTAAACTTTGTTAACTCAAACCCTTGGATATATCGAAGTTTTAATTGGTTCAATCAAGTTTGAGATAACGAGCGTTGACTGTATGCATTATGGGGAATATGTCTTGTATTGGTAAAGGTTACTTCTAGAATGAAACAATAATATATCCTGATATTGTGAGAGAGAGAGAGAGAGAGAGAGAGAGAGAGAGAGAGAGAGAGAGAGAGAGAGAGTGAGTCCCTTTTTGAACCTTTTTTTTTTTTTTAAATTTTTAACAATTTAATAAAATATACATTTTTTTTTTTTACTAATTCTATTTTTTTTTAAAATCCTTCCATAAAATGATAGGTGAGAACAGCATCTTGATACCTTTCATTTGAAATATTACTATATATCTTATTTTCCAATGAATGAGGTTAAAATCAAACAAGAAACGATGGAAATGTTACCCAACGATTAAATCATCGGGATCGAGATGCCTCTCATACTTTGATACTTATACGGATACGGATACGTATACGGATACGTCAGATAGAACAATCTCTAATAGAGATTGTTCTATCTGACGTATCCGTATACGTATCCGTATCCGTATACGTATCGAGGTATGAGAGGCATCTCGATCCCGATGATTTAACCGTTGGGTAACATTTCCATCGTTTCTCGTTTGATTTCTTGTTTGATTTTAACCTCATTTATTTCAAAACAAGATATATAGTAATATTTCTAATAAAACGTATCAAGTTGCTGTTCACACCTATCATTTTATGGAAGGATTTAAAAAAAATAAAATTTGTAAAAATGTAGGAATATTTTTATTAAATTGTTTAAAAATAAAAAAAAAGTTAAAAAGGGACCCCCCTCTCTCTCTCTCACACACACACACACACACACACACACACACACACACACACACACACTATCAGGATATATTATTGTTTCATTCTCGAAGAAACCTTTACCAACACAAGACATATTCCCCATAATGCATGCAGTCAGCGCTCGTTATCTGAGACTTGATTGGACCAATTAAAATTTCGATATATCCAAGAATTTGAGTTAACAATGTTTAACTGTACGAGGTGTCAGAGATCACACATTCTAGATGAGTATAAGTTTGTCTACATCAAGCAGACACTTAAAATTGATTAACAAAGTGGAGAAGGGGGAGCTGGGCCGAGGCAGGGAGAAACCAAAAAATGACAAGTCACCTTAGCAAAACTTTGACAATAAAAAAGTGTAGAAATTAATCAAAATCTTAAAAAAAAAACCTATCACGGGGTATGTGTGTGTGTGTGTGGGGGGGGGGGTATGGATATTAAGTTTTGAGTTCCTCTTTTCCACAAAAATAATTACGGATACATTAACTGTGAAAGATTAATTTGACCATACTGCATACTCTGTGTGTATGTGTGTGTGTGTTGGGGGGGGGGAGTCACTGAAAATTTCCATCCTCATTTTCTTTTTTATCATTATCAACATTCTGTATATCATTTGATTATATTTGATGGACATAGTTCTCCAGAAAAGCTTTGGAAAGCTGGCAATTCTGGGGTGGTTTGAAGACTCTGAACTCTCTAAATTGTTAGGTGATAGCCGTATCCGAAATTCCAGAGAGCTTGAGAAAGGATTACCATTTCCGAAAGTGATACAATTACACGCAGTTTTTGTCGGGGATGAATAACAATAGTCGACAAAAGGAGATAAACGGAGAACAATGTTTATGTCTTATACATTACTTTATATACATGTTGACTAAAGCTTACTTAATGATTTATTTATTGAAATTAAGATGACTGTCATTCTTTGTATATAAGCGGGATCAAAACTCTGAAAAAAAAATGCTGATATTTTATCAATTAAATGTTTTGTATAAATTTTATCCTTTATTCTATTTTTTTTATTTCTCTGCTACGTTGAAGCAGTCTCTTCTCTTCAGTTCTATAAACTGCGTGTTGAATTGACTCACTCTTGTCCCGATCTGGGCCAAAATGCATTAATAAATAACTAAAAATAAAATAAATAAATAAAAATCAGCTGGATGGACAAGGTAGCATAGAAGAAATAGATATGTCTATTGTTTTGGCATTTTTTAGCCTAATGTTCTTTTCTTTCTTATAAAAAGAGAGTTAAGATAATGAATACCCTATTCTGAAACAGTTTCTATATCAAACCATGAATTATAATACACATGTACGACAACAAGAGAACTAAAAGGAAAAATCAAATTTAACAATTGCATTTTCATTTCATTACCTATTTTTTGTCGCCATGAAGTCTTTTCAAGTTAATGCTGCTGAAAGTACAAAATATAAAGCAAAATCAAGCTGTATGAGATTAGGCACGAAAGTAGCAATTTCAACTGGGGAGGGGAATGGGAGACATACAGGTATTTGTCAAATAGTTCATTGTAAAAAAAAAAGCATGAAGAAAGTCAACCCACGCTATGAAAGTTTGTGTGTGTTCCCGGGGGGGGGGGGGGGATTTTTTAGCATATACTCGTAAGGGTCTAGAAGCGGCTACACAGTTTTATTGATTGTGTGGATATCAACGTCTTTTGCATTTTAGTGTGTGTGTGTGTGAGTGCGGGGGGGGGGGGGGGTAACATTTATGTCATCTAATATAAATTACAGAATCAATCAATAAAATATCCTATTAGAAAAAAATACCATATGCTATTTTTAAATGAATGGGGCTGCTTTAAAACCAAACAAATAACGATGGAAATTATAGTAAAAAGTTTAGACATCGGGATCGAGATGCCTCTTTCACCTCGATACGTATACGGATACGGATACTTATACGGATACATCAAAAAGAACAATCTCTTATAGCACCCTCACAACAGAATTTGTCTTCGCAGTTTTCTGACAATTTTCGTATGTAATCTCAAATGATTTCGTTAAAATAATATCTCAAGACTCAAAACAAAGTATGAAATGCAAATTTATCTTCTACCTGGAGGTCTTCTTGACATAGATCTTTAAAAAGACTTGAACACTGTAGAATATTTGAGACCAATAAATATCACCTTCTTTTAACTGTTTATGATCATATCTCATGATTGGAATTAAAGAAAACATACTTCAAAACTAGTAAATGTTATTGGATAACTGGACATTTCCCTAACGCGAGACCGACATAAATATAAAGACGCAATCAATGACAATCTAATCTGTATTTGTGGAGATGTCGACATAATTCAAATGATGGTAAATTATATAATCTCTTACCTAGCCAGTATTCTCCATTAACGTTCCAAAACCCGTCTTTGTACGAATCCCACGATCTATAAAAATCGACTGATCCGTCAATCCTTCTCAAAATAACTTTTTTTTTTAAAAAAAGGCTTTGATAAAGACGCTAAATATCTGAGAAAACGGTAAATATGTACATGTCAAGATCTGTACTCTTGGTTGGTATAATCCACGTTAAGTTACAAATAAAAGTGATAAAAATATAATTTTCTGAGAAATACATAAAAGTCTTCAGGGAAATTACATACATCACCATCAAATTTATTTGTACAACTAAATTTGATAAAAATGAGAATCAGAAAATTTCTACTGTCCAACCCCCTCCATCTGTAGTCATGTCACATTACACCAGTTTCTTTGTCTTCATATCCGGGTAAATGGAGTAGACATAATCTTTTCCTTTTGTGTTGGGTATGGATTTTAGAATAGAAGCACAGTCCCTTTGCTTTGGCATTTCTGTTTGAAGATAATATATTGCGTACATAATTACATGTATCATTATTTTTAAATTCAAAGAATAAAATTATGATAAGTGCAAGTATCGGTATCTGGTTATTTTTCACAGATTTTGCCAAAAATCTGGAGTGTCTACTTTGATGTGTCTACGTGCTTCCAGTTCCAGGGAGTTAATTTCAGTATAGACTCAACATTTCCTGAAATAAATATTGCACAAAACAATGGTAGACGATACCTTATACAATAAAGTAATCAATTACATCGCATATCCATTAATTTTGAATGTTTTAAAAAATGTTTAGTTGTATTTCATTCAATTTAAATCACAATGATAAAATCACTTAAAATACCTTTCAATTGGGAATGTGGTCCAATACAAAAAACACTAAGAAAATGGAAAAAGAAGCAACACACAATAAACATATTTTTAGTAAAGCCTCCATATGCATGTACATTCATGGAAACATTCTACATATGCGTTAGTTTATCCCAATTAAAATGAAATATGATATTACGGTTCGTGACAATGTATGTAGATTACGATATATTTACCAGAAAAATTAAGAGGGCGGTGCCAAATTTTGACACACTCAAAGCTTTATTACGGATTATCACATGGAAAGTTCGAATGAGTACATAATAAAAGTGCCGATCACATTGAATACGCAGTACTAACCGTGATATACACTGTATTTTTTTTTTAATTTGAGATAAAATCGTCTTTAGGTACATAATGTATTAGCTTCTGGATATTAATTAGGACATAAAAAATTTAAATTAAAATATTTAGTTTAAAACAATGTGCATTTTTGAAAAAAGAGTATCATTTTCAAAATGCAAAATCAAAATTTAGATAGCTTGCGAACCACCATAAACCTTTATAAACCACAACACATGATTTACGTGTCATTATCTTGATCTTTCGTGGAAAATATTATGTAATACCTGTTATGGTCACTTGGGCTAATCCCATCAGTAAATCATATTCTTTGGTATCATTTATTCGAATTTTTTTAAATACAATTTAGAAAAATCAACCTCCACCTCCACTCCATCCCCCACATCTTTAAGTCAACAATTATGCATATTTCTCTGATGTTTTTATGCACCACTTTTGTTTCCAATAAAGTTTGATGTTGTATTATATCGCATTATCGCATCTGTGTGTTGTAACAATATTGTGGCTGGGAGACCACTGTTGTGTAATATCTTGGTGACTTGCATTTCTAGTCAAGAAACAGTTCATATGTCGACAAGCTTTCCTTGATGCTGGTATGTCTCCCAGCCAAATTCTTTTGTAATTGTTTTATGGATTACTTTTTTCGTCATTTAAATAAATGACAAGTTTTTTACACTTAACATGTTTTCTGTTATAAATATTGGAAACAAACAGAGCTGCTATGTTGCCTTGGACTACCAGTAAGGTTTTAACATAAATACAATTTATGTATTTTTCCCTATTATCGACGAATTTGTCATACCTTTTCCGATTCATTTAGGTGTATTTTTTGGTAAATAGTATTTTCATTCATAGGAAAAATAAAATACAAATAAGGCAAGAAAGATGAAACATTTTATATAATGCTAGAGAAATGATATTGACTGAAGTACCTCTGAACCCGTTCACTGACAACTCATATTTTGGGATAAGTTTTCGACAGAAAGAAGAGGAGTACCTGGCAAACGCTTTTTTGCCTGAGAAGTTTTTAGGTCCACCCTCAGTCCCTGCCTTTCCTTAGTCGTAGAGATATGAATGGCTTCCTTACTTTAAAAAATAAACCAAAGTCTGAATGAAAACATGATTTTAAAGTCAAAACATTACTTTGAGTGTCGATTTACATGTTTTTGATGATGAAAATCGAAAGCATTTCGTTAATATTCTTATATTTAGATTTTAAGTAATATATTTACTTGTAAACATATATAAATATACTCAAGTATCTGACCAGTGTAAAGTTGGATTTCAAAGAATTGAAAGCATCAAAACATTCGGACGATTTATAGAAAGCAACAATCTCCCTTTAGGTAACATGCACATGTATTAATATAAAATAGATTGATTTCTATTGTAAACTATGGAACTGAAAAACCTTCCATAGTCTTCTGCATCTTGATTGATTGATTGTCTTCTGCATCTTGAATCTCCCGATAAATTTCCTCTTTATCGAGACGCTTGTGAATCGTACCTGTGATATTGAATTAAATGGCTTCCAATAATTAAAAATCATAATCCCTATAATACACATTCTTGTTAATTTTGTTTCCGACTTTTAGCTTCAATTTGCAGTCAGTCGTCATAGTCCTTACCTCAGACATCATTCACTGACTGAATCAGTGGGAACTGCCACCTTTCAACGACACTGTTATGTCTGTTTTTATATGCATGCATGAAATCCTGAAAAGCTCAACATTCGATCCAAAGTGCAAGAAGATTATAATCCATGCTTTATTTTTTTTTTGGATCGAGGGGTGGGCCGATATTTTATTTCTTTGCTGAAGGTACTCAAATACATCCATTTTTTTTTTAAATTCAAGAAATTGTAATTTCACAAAGTCTGTTTTTGATACATGGACTCAAAGAAGAAACATTTTTATAGAAAATGAAAGCACCAGTCCTTTACTTTTTGATGAAATATTTTAAATGGGACATTAGGTTTGCTGGCATATATAAAGCAAGAGTTAATTTCCCAAATTCACAAGTTTCATGAAGGATTTAAGGACTAATGACCCTCTGCTCTAAATTTCACAATTCTTTTAAACTTCCCAACATTGATTTTTATCAAGAGCTATAGCACCAGTTTTAAATGAAAACTAGTATGAGGTTTGAAGTGTTGATTATTTTTTCTGAAATGATTTTTATGTCAGACCATGATATGAAGAAATTTGAACACAGAGAATAAAAAGAGTAATGATTTATTATCACCACATAAAATCAAAAATATGAGCTGTATATGAAAAATATTATTTAGTATCATACCTTTTGAATCATGTCAAAAGCATAATAAATAATAAGTGATAAGTAATAATAACTACAACAAATATAAAAGTGCTAATCAACCAATCAGAGAGCTGTCATAAAAAATAATCCAAACTCAGAAGCACAATATCTGTAAAAGAATTGTTGAAACATTTTGTATTGTTTCAATATATGACCAAAAATGATTTTAAACTTAGTCCGAAACCAGTTTTTCCCGATTCGCAATTTGACTTAAAATGAAAAACAACACTAAATAAACGTAAATTTTAATATTTCAATTGCATAGACTTGAATTTAACTTATACTCCCCCCTCTCTCTCTCTATCTCTCTCGCACACACACTCACACACATACAAACACCCTCACACACACACAAATATACTGAAGATATTTTTTTAAACTTTGTTTAGAACTGGCTCAGAACACAGGGAGTTTTTGTCGTATCCAGATATAATTTTCGTTGTACAAACTGTATTCATTGCAGAGTTCTGAGAATTCAACCTAATCCAAGAACCCAAACTACATATTATCCTCAGGTAGACTGTATCTTTCTTATTTAAATGTGAAAATAACGCATTTGTCTTATTTTTTACAACAACATATCTATCTGTATATTGTGATATTTTTTCATGTTTTGAATGTAATCCATGAATTGTTCTTCAGAACAGGGGGCAAGAGTAAGATCAGCGATTTCTGTTTGTGGTAACTGCCCTTTAAACACCTCTATAAGTGATCTAGTGGAATATCTCTCAAGCACATAAAATATTACTCCTTTGATATAATCACATTTGTCTGTAACCACTATCCATTTTGCTTTTTCATTAATATTTTCCTTTGAAATCGCCCTTTTTATGAATAGGACAATCTTATACCACATTTTCATCCAGCAAAGAGCAAAGGTAACAATTTGATTTGGATATTTGCCAATGCCATACTCAGGCCATCTAAAACAAGGAACTTCGAACAAGTAACCCCGTGTGTTCATATCTCTCGCAAAGAAGCAAAATGAAACAAGCAGTTGGCAAGGTAGTTCAGAACATCAATTATGCACTTTGCGTCAAATCTTGAATGTGTTCATTTGATAAACATATTCTTGAGTCGTTTGAAGACAGTTCTTTTATTAATGACCCAATTACCTCAGATGAAATTCTTAATGTAGTGAAGACAATTAAGAACAATAAATCGCCAGGGCCTGATACTTAAAATAATGAAAAAGAACGTGTATTTGACCGCATAAGTGCTTCCCTGTATTAGAACGCTACATTCGGGGTGGAGATCAGGCGTGACATCGGCTGGCGGCCCTGAAGCGGGAAAAGACCAATCAGATGAGTAAACACAAAAAACGAGGGCGCTGTGGATTGGCATTCGGCAGGAATCTGGGCGCACTTGAAAAGTAAAATTTCCAATGATCTGCCAAATGGAATTTTAGCATTTTTTGATGTATCGGGCACAGGAAAGGGAAATATTTTCCCGATATTGTGTTTTGATCTGCTAAAGTATAACTTGATAAAAAAAACTAGATGAATCATTACTATCTCTGGTTCACCTGTCCATGATTTGGAAAACGTGTTTATTTTTGTTTAAAAAAAAAAACAAGAAAATTCGTAGAAAATGGAAAGAAGACCCAGAGACCATAAAAAATGAACTTTTCCAAAACAAAATTCAATGTGGTGCTTCATTGTCGTTTTGAAATCCTTATTGTGTGTATAGCGATGATAGTTGAGTAGTATGCGTTACCCGTCCAATGCAATTTTTTTTTTTGGCGTTCTTGCATGCAGCCTTAATTTAAGCGTTTTTTAATGCAAACTGTCCATTCTTTTTGGCAGTTTAATTTTAAAGATGTAAAGATTTATTTTAAAATAAATAAATTTTGGTTCCGTTGCACCGAGAGCGAAAGCAATTCTTGCAACTTATGATATTTTAATATATATATATACACTTGTAATTGCATTTAAGTATACCCATTAATCTTATAGGTGTTTATTATTTATAAGCGTTACAATGTTATAGTGATTATAAAGATAAACGGACTTAACTTTTACAATCTGACAAGGTATTTCAAACTAAATGTAACATTTTCCTATGTGCTTAACTTTGTAAAGTCTGTTCAACGGTGGTCAGCCGACAATATCATGGACATTTAAACTAAAACGTTTCATACAGATGATTCCTGCAGATCACACGCCAAATGTGCCCATCTTCTTTTTCATATGTTAAGACGTTTTAGTACAGAAAATAATCTACATTTCTTCGATATGCCGCCATCCCATAGGACGCAGAAACCGCCAGTCAGATTGTCACATTGCGGTTGAAGCCTAAATGACTTAATCGCTAAAATATATTGATTTACCAGGTACCAATAATGCTAAATTCTATTGCAAAACTTCATAACCATTTAAAATATCATGACAGTAAGGGTCATCAGCTACATGTAAAATCACTATGATTATGCACACAAGCTGTTTTTAAAAGGATACTGGAGTTTCTCATTGACAACATTTATGTAGTCTTCGAAAACCAAGTCTTTCAATAAACTTTTGGAATTTTGATGGGCACTAATCGTGCGCCTTTATTAGCAGACCTGTGTTTATATTCCTATCAAGCAGAATAATATTCAAAAACTTCACATGAGAAATAGAAACACTTTTCATGGCCTTCGATTCGACATTTAGATATATCGACGATGTTTTATCAATGAACAATTGGTATTTCTATTCTTTTGGCGACTCGATATATCCAAGTGTACTTGAATTAAAAGACACCACAGAGTCTGTCACATCTGTTTCATATTTTGATGTTTTACTGATCAATTTTTAACTTAGGCAGGCTAATCACAGATGAGTTGATGTTTCAAGGATTTCAACAACCTCGTTAAAAGTCAGCATTCATAAATTCTATTATCGTTGTAATGACCTTGTTAGCAAAAAAAAACTTACTGTTGGGTCGTATTTTTATACCAATTATTAGGCCTTTGTTTTATACTAAATTTGACTACGGGATGTTCCGTCTTCTTGATTAATACATAGGGCTCACAGTTGGTGTGACCGGTAATAGGGGATGCTTACTCCTCCTAGGTACCTGATTTCAACTCTTGTATTTCCGAGGGTCCGTGTTTTTGTCCTGTTCACAGATATGCATTGTTTGTCGATTTTTTGATATCGATAACTGTTCATTGTCTTTACCTTTTTCAGACTCACTATAGGTGAATAAAAATTGCATGAGTGTTCGATTTAATATATAGTTGTAGATTTTAATGGTGTCTTTATAAAAATTTCATTTCTCAGCAGTTCTTTTTTTTAAATGTCTTTTTGAAATCAAATAGCTTTGAAAGCTAGAATTTTGATTTCTTTAGGAATATATGGGCTATGGTAATCGTTCTGCTTTTATCTTTAAGGACTAAATCTTTATGAAACAAATTCGGTATTTCACTGAGCTTTACTGAAATATACCTTTTGGCATGTATTTTTTATATATATTTCTAAATTTCTACATTTAAATCATTTTTCTAACAGGGATTAACTGATTTTAGAGGAGATTATTTTTAAATTAGTCCATAAATTTCTAAATTGTACCGTTTCAGTCAAACCTGGGATTACTTAATTTCTCCAAAGGATATTATACATTAAAGATACTTTTATTCCTTCGTCTTTTCTAAGTAAAATTCCATTCAAAGCTTAAGATTGTCTCTAACTTTAACACTCCGCTAGCTAATTTTAAGTATCCTCAGACTCTTTTGTGCAGCAATATCACTGTACGTAAAGCCTATAAACACTAACATTTTATGTCTATTTTATATCTACGGAACATATCAAACTAAAAATATGTCATTATACCTTTATCATGATTTATATGTTTAATTTTGTCCCCATTCTGATGTATGTTACCTTAATCACTATGATCAAAAGATGTTATATATTCAACACACGAATAGTTATAAATAATGACAAGAAATGCAGTTTTGCTATCAATGCTTTTAATGATTCATCACAGAAACATAAGACAGAAAACTTATTTTGCTTACATCATACACTTTCTCAACTTTTTGATCTGATCATCATCCTAGAGTTATTCAAGGAACGATAATCATTTCTAAAGTTGTACGTACCAAACAACTGAGGCCCATGTTCTAACAGAAGAATTGTGATAGGGTCCGTTCAGGTTACAAGTTTGACATTCGTCAAACCACCACCCTGCTTTCCTTTCTACAGCACAGGATTTCACCCATTTGTCGTTATCTTGATCTTTTATTGACAAATTCCACTCATTAAGAGCTCCAAGACTATTTCCTTCAATAAGTTTTACTTTACTTTTGTACAAATTGAGTATATTAAAGACAATGTAAACTAATAATTAAACCTAAAAATATAATCAGCCAAGTTTTAGTATATTTCATGTCAAAAACATTTCGATATCTTCTGCATATTATGATTGTATTAGTCCCCTACCGGTGAAACCGGGGACTATAGGTTTCCTCTGCGTCTGCCCGTCCGTCTAGCTGTCTGTCTGTCCGTCTAGCTGTCCCTCTGTCTGTCTGTCAGTCTGTCCCACTTGGTTTTCCGCACTTTTTTCCTAAACGCTTGCAGATATTGAGAATTTTGTGAGTGTATTTTGATAATTTACAGATCAAGTTTGCAATTCGTTCTGCTTCATTGATTTTTGACGGAATTACGACCTTTTCAATTTTTAAGGGTTTTCCGCAATTTTCTTGTAACCGCTTACAGATATTGAGCTGATTTTTGATGTGTGACTTAACCTTGATTAGTTATAGATCAAATTTGCATTTCGTTCCGCTTCAATGATTTTTGACAGAATTATGGCATTTTCAATTTTTAACGGGAACCAGATTACACTTGCCGGTAGGGGACTAGTATTGCTAATGCAATGCTCTCAGAACGCTTGTTTTAATCATGATGACTTAAAGTGGAAGGAGGTATGGCCAAACTATTTTTACTGCACTCCATTCTATGGCCTTGAAAATAATTTTTATTCAATCATACATATTATGTCTGAATTGAATTCTTTCGGTTCCTTGAGGTGTGTACTTGAAGTCAACGGAGATACAGACAAATAAGATACACCTTTTATCTTCAAATTTATGTGGAATTCGGAAAATTATGATAGCGGAGTGGGTATAATCTCATATGGAGAACTTAACAATTAGATATGGCCACTTCTAGCAATGTCTAATTTGCACTCGTAGATTAAATTCGTTATTCTTATTCTTCTTATCTTGATCTTCACGTATTTTATCATACTTTACCTAACCAATCTTCTCCATCAATTTTCCCAAATCCTTCTTTGTAGGATTTCCAAGGTCTGTAAAAATCAACTGATCCGTCTATCCTCCTTTGAATAAACATTTGTTGAGTTGCTGAAATGTTAGAAAATTTAACTGCGTATTCAATGATGAATAAAATTTTAAAGATACGAAATATTTTAAGAACATGATACCCACAATAACACATAATTATATAGTGACAAATGATCTCGAAAAATTATACCGTCCATCCCCCGCCATCCGTTGTCATGTCACAGAAGGTCGAAATTTTTGTCTTCATATCAGGATAAATCGTGTAGACGCCATCTTTTCCTCTCGTACTTGGTATGAATTTCAGAATTGATGCACAATCTCTTTGCTTTCGAATTCCTAGCTCTATTTATAAAAATGACATATTTCATTAGAAATTGCAAAAAAAAAAAAAAAATTATACAGTTAATCTGAACTTTCTACATTTGATCTTGTGATGTTTGTGGGAATTATCTTTTTATCGATCCAATCCGATTTGGTACACAAGTTAGAGATTGTTTAAAATATTTAAGCTGAAAGACATTAACATCAGTGTAAAAAATAATATGTAAAGGGATCATAGTCCTCTCTAATAAACAGGGAAAACAATCACATAAGAAGACTGTTTTTATATTTCGCAGGCACTAGCAGTTGTATATGTATCTAAAAACTTTCTAAAACAGCCCTTCTATATACCGGTATTTTAATTACTGAATAATTTTACAAAGATTATAATTTCTGTATACTAACTCTGATATTTGTTGAAGTGTTTCCCAGTAAGTCTGTAGTGAGACAGAAGAGTAATGTCCACAGAGACTGGAGTGTCCACTTTGACTGATGTGTTCAGGTGTTTCCAGTTCCAGGGAGTCAACAGAAGTAGAGACTCAACATTTCCTAAAAATAATAATCATCAGATTAGAAATAATAAATGGTATCTCGATTTCTTGCATAGCTGTTAATTTTGAATTTTGCGAGAAGCGAATAATTTTTGACAATTTTTAATGGTAATAAGTGTCTCAGAATACAAATACACTGAACCTACCTTTGAATTGGGAATACGGTGCAATACAGACAATGGCTGTAATTTGCAAAAACAAACACCATACATGTACCTAGAAAATTTTATGAATTGGAACCATGTTACTAGTATTTGGCGGTATATATATGTACATTTATGAAAGAAACTACTCGTATATACGTTATTTTATTAAAATTCATTGTAACACGATATTTTTGTTCTGTGACAATGTATGTCGATAATCGCATGTTTCATATATAAAGGCTGGTAAAATATATGACTGTCTAGCATGGGATATCACATGAAAAAAAAATGATAAAACTACATGTTAATACAAATAACCGACCATTTAATATTGATTTTAAAAGTGTACTTCTTCTAGTTTCAGTCGCCCGCGTGGTGCACTGGTAGAGCGTCTGCTCTAGAGTAAGGAGTTGATCCTTACGTCGCGGGTTCGAATCTCACTGTTGGACGTGGAGACCGGTCCTTCGGATGAGACTGTATAATCCGAGGTCCCGTGTTGCAGTAGGTGCTGGCACGAAAAGATCCCTCACTGCTCAATGGCCCTTAATGCCTAGCATAGGTCAAAATTTGCAGCTATCCACCGGCAAGTAGTGGCGTCTCCATATGACTTGAAAAGTCTTTAGAGGGACGTTAAACAACAAACAAACAAACAAAAATCTTCCAGTTTCAGATGAGATCCTATATTATAATAGGTCCTTAGTTTGTTTGTTTGTTTGTATGTTGTTTAACGTCCCTCTCGAGAATTTTTCACTCATATGGAGACGCCACCACTTGCCGGTGGAGAGCTGCAAATTTTGTCCTATACTCGGCACTTACGGCCATTGAGCAGTGAGGGATCTTTGTCGTGCCAGCACCTACTGCGACACGGGGCCTCGGTTTATACGGTCTCATCCGAAGGACCGGTCTCCACGTCCCACAGTGGGATTCGAACCCGCGACGTAAGGATCAACTCCTTATGCCGCGACTCTAGAGCAGACGCTCTAACCACTGCGCCACGCGGGCGACTAGGTCCTTAGTTATTGATGCTAAATATATTTTATAATTTGTTCATTACATGTATTTCTCCTTCTCAAACATTTTAAAATATATATTATCCATTTTTAAAGTCAAATAAGACTTATTGGAAAGTTCTTTTAAAGAATTATTATACGCTTCAAAGAAATCCATATTTCCATTAAGTTAAATTATTAGTTTCTCTTTATCATCAAGTCTCATTTAAGCTTCATAAGCAAGTAATTAGGGAAACATTTAACCAGTTTCACCATTTATGTATGTATAGGGAAAGAAAACTTTACTGTATTGTTGTCTGTATGGAGAAATGCATCGTTTATTAACAAAATGGGTCCTTGTTGATCTTATTAAAAACAAAGCATATTTCCAACGTATGGATTCCAATCTCTTTTGTTCCCCATCCTAGATTTAAGATATTTGAGTGTGGATTCTATACGTTTGTTAACTACTTTTCAAAATCCAGTAAAAAATTTTTTTTTGACAATTCCAGTTTAAAAGGAATACACTGGTTGACGGGTAATAATGATTTCCACAAAAACACAAAAATGTCCGAATCTCATGTCTATCGAGACAATTAAAAATGTCCGAAGATATTCCTTGCGTGTAAGGATCACATCTTAGTCACACTGATTTATAGCAGTTTAACAATACTCACTGATACAGTTTTAATCTTGTGATGTATGTAGATCTGAAAGTGAGGCATACATGTACAAAGAAAAATACAGTGCAGAAAAGAATTAAATCTGCACTATTCGATTCAAATTTAATTGTGCTCTAAACAAGCTGAGCCTATAAAATGTATACAACTGTACATACACTCTACATATATACTTAAACAGTTTTCTCAAAACTTGCACTCGAACAAACGATTTAGTTTCTGAAATACCTTTATTCTTTCAAAAGGTTGAAAGAATTCTTATAAATGGTGTTTTATTTGATTTAACTTGATTTTCATAATTGTTATCTTTTCAGTTTTTATTAATTTCCATTAATTCGATTACATCTCGTTAGTCTACTTACAGTTGCCATCATCCACAAAAAATAATTTAAAAAAATAATAAATAAATGGTTAAGTGATTTCAAGCGTTTACCACTTCATTTTAGAGTTAGCAATAATTCTAGAAACATTATTGCGTACCTTTTTAAAGGCATCAATCTTTCTCGGTAAAACGCCAAAATATAGGGTATATAATATGAAAAATAATTCTTTTAACCAGTCAATCAACCAACATATTTCTTTTTAAGGACATAAATTCTTTTAAAGTAAAGATAACGAACAGTGAAAAATCTCATAATTTGAAGAAAGAATAATTCACAAATCTGGTACCCTTATCTTTTTACAACGATTTTGATATACCCAGGCTCATTACGGAAGATTATGCTTCAAGGACTTATCGCATGATCTTTCAAAAACCGTAATTTTATGAAAAATATTATCTATAGCCTTATTTATTAAAATACTGAATACAATAAACGTTGTTGAAAGCATATTTTAAGAGATATTGAGAGTGGAAATTCACATACGGCTATGTGCATATTTCAGTCGGATTTCGGCGAAATACTGCTCTGACGTCGTAGGCGAAAATTCGGTGATAGAGAGATGAGAATATGCACATTATTAACGGAGTTATCAATGACAAATGCAGCTAAAAATGCCGAAAAATTAATTCCTTATATGATTTTCAATTACTATAGAACCATTAATTAATTCTAAGGTATAAGGCTTTTAAGATATTTTCGATTTTTTAGTCAAAACATTTAGAACTTGTAGCTCTAATTACGGCAATGTCTCGTGATCGGGAAATTATTTTTCAAGATCACTATCCTTTAAAAAACATACGAAGACTTGCATAAATTAATATTATATACAAAACAAAGAATAACAAAGTTATATAATGTTCAATTTGTGAATCAAATAAGTTAATACATGTGATAAGATGACAAATAAAATTGCATTGTTATGGCGAGTTTCTTCGTCTTCGCTGCGTCTTCCTCACTATCGTCGCTGCTATTTTTACAATCTGTTAACAGATTTTTCAGATTTAATTCAAACATATAAGGTTAAATATTCAATTTTATATCGATAAAATAAGTGATTTGGTTGTCCACAACGCAGAAAATTCAGGTTGTATCGCTTATATTTTAGTAAGATTAATTAAGAGCTGATCAGCCATTGTCGCCTTTGACGTCACAGGGTCACGTGAATGAAAGAAATTCAACAGTACATTTTTACCCATATTGTTTGAAATATGGCCTAACAGACCCCTGTAAGAAGATTCTGAAATTAGACAGCCGACCTGAGTTTGTGCATTATTTAAAAATAACCAATTGATCTATTGCAAACTTGTGTGATGCTGTTTATAAAGTCAATCTTTTGTACTAAAATTTAGTTAAATATTTGATACCGGTATATTTGAGTAAAATATTATGTAAAATAGAACATACATAGCCCAGGAGTTGAAAATTTACATGTAAATATGGCAAACGTTAAAACCTCTTTAAAGAAAATGTATAATTCAATTTTTACAAAAAATCATCAGAATAACGGAATGGAACTCAGATTAAAATATGTCAAAATGAGGAAATTTGAATCGGCGGTTTCAGATATTTTGGCGATTTTAAATAAATCAAATAAAAAAATGTAAAGATTCAGTAGATGACGTCACTATATTTGACCTTTGACCTCTTACTATGACCTTGACCTTTAATGTACAAAAAAGACTGGAGACTCCTTATAAATATTTCCAAATATCAGGTCTCTTCTAAAAATGGATCAAAAATTACTTTCCATTTAATAACAGACAGTCATATGGCATGTTGATGGCATAAACACGATCCAGAAATTACTTTCCATTTAATAACAGACAGTCATATGGCATGTTGATGGCATAAACACGATCCAAAAATGTAGGCTTCCGAATGATAAATATATAGGATTCTCTAATTTTTCTTCAAAATATGGTAAAAACATGTCACAGCTCATTATTTTTCTTACAAGGATCCTTGATTATTGAAATTATAGTGATTGAGCCTTTAAACGTCTCTCTCTCTCTCTCTCTCTCTCTCTCTCTCTCTCTCATATTACTGAAGGAATTGAAATAACATTGCAATAATCATTCAATTAACCGTTTAATCTCTTTTTGAAAAACTGTTATGATTATGTATTATGAGGGTTTATAAATGACAAATTATTAAATATCAATCTAATTTCTATGTATTTGTTCTATTGATTTTAGGTCTTGTTTGACATCTGTAGTTGAAGGTTAATTGTTTCTATTTGATGTTTAGAAAGGGTATTTTTGCACATAGTAGCAATATCTAATCCTTGACATTTCTTTCCTGTCTCACGATATCAATGTCATTTACTCATACATATTTTCAACTTTATGGTTAGATCTTAGGATTGTGTTCTTTGAATTTGTTATGCTTAGCTCTACCTAATTTCAGTCTTGTAAATTAATGTCATACAGATCCCCCCTGTTCATGCAACTTTCTTATCCTTAAGTTAATTGGCTGGACAGTACGAAAGTGGGCGGAGTTGTCAAAGACTAGATGTGTGTGAGTTTCTACGAAAATTCTTTGTTAAATTCAGTGTGTTCTAAATTGTATTTGTGAAATTAATATTTTTGGACTTACAATAAATTCATAACTTTAAAACCGTTTTTTGTCATTTGGCTACGATATTACAAAACATTAAACTATTTTATAGATTATTTCAAGGTTATTGAATTGTAGTTTAAAAGTCGGAATTTGCCCCAATGAAAATTAGTATTTTGTTTAAAATCAAATTCACGTATAAACAGGCATAGATGTATTTTTGTCCTTCTCTTAATAATACTTGATACAAGTTCAAATTTTGGGTCTGATCTTCATTTTTGCATACTTCAAGGAAGCGTTTTCGTTTCCAAAGTGCTCTCAGTGAACACTCCGATCTGTTTTGGTTGGAGATTTGAGATATGGTCCGTTCAGGTCACAGTAATCACATTCTCCAAACCACCATGCAGCTTTTCTATCAATAGCATATGAATTCTTCCAAGAATCGTTGTCTGAATCCTTCATAGAGAATGGTCTCCCATTATGATAGGCTAAGCTATTTCCTAAAATAAAATCAATTTATATCGTTCTTTACATGTTTTGCTCTTGTTGCAATTTCAATTAGTATTAATAATTACTTTTACATCCTTCTTCCTCTTACCTCAGTATGTTAAGATATTTGTTTCTTGTGCAATTTTACATCATATGAATAGTGCATGTTTTTGAGGGCAACAGTTGAAATTGACACCACAAGGAAAACCATTGTTTTCAGCTTCTGTTTTTCTCAGTACGAAAACTTCGAAAAAAGGTCGTCGAATCTCTTTTTGAAGCTTTCTTATTGAGAAAAACAGAAGCGGAAAGTTAGAAAGCTGTTCGAAACATGAACTTTTTTTTTTGCTGACATCCTTTGTCCAATAAGATATAAGTATAATAAAATAAAGAATGCATTAATAAATAAGTATTGTTTGTTTGATACTCAGATTGTTTTCAATCAACCTCTATATCGGACGTTAGCTTTGATTAACGTCAAAATTTCGGCTTCTTTTAAACGCACGACTGAAGTTTTGAGAGATCTAAGGCGAACCGTATGCGCATAATTTACACGCTTGTGACATAATAGTTGTGTTATCCGTTGTCAAGTATGTTGCTAATACTTAAGGTAACATTACGAATTGTTAAATGCGTCTAAACGAATTTAGTATTTAACATGAAAATGCAATAATGAAAAAGAATGTTTGCTTACATGTATGTTAATGTGCAACAGCAGACGTCAATCTTTTTAGAAATTACATTGTTTAATTTCTAGTATAAAAGACTTTTGTCATTTTATCCTTACAGGTAGTTTACGTGGGTAGGTTTCAACAAATGCTTTATTTAAGAAATGATCCCTGAGCTTAAATTCAGTAAACATGGAAATTTTCCTTCTCGGTGTCTGAGTTATGGTGGCCAAAAATCGGAATAAACGAAAAAATGATTTATGAATGTGAAGAAAAAGCCTGACAAACTTTCTAGAACAGACAGACAGACTACCGAATGACTGCCGAAAAGATAGTTAGTTATTTATTTTTAGGCTACATTTTGTGGAGATTTCTATATAATTTACATAACAGGTAACTTTTTTCATTTCCTACCTAACCAGTAATCTTTTTCCACTTTCCCAAAAATGTCTCTGAAAGATTTCCAAGCTCTATAAAAATCTACTGATCTGTCCATTTTCTGTTGAATGAGCTATATTGTATTTTTTGTTAATATTTATCTTCATGGAGGAAAAGCAAATATTTCATACACATACTTTCTTTTTTTTTTCATAATTGCAGGTTTGTTGACAGAAATCCTGTTTAAATGTGATCTGTTTTAGTAATTTATCAATCTTAAAGTAACATAATTTTTCTGCTTTTCTTTGCATGTTATTTCATTTAGAGATATGCATTCCTTTATTTAACAGTAAGATCCACAATAAATCACACAAACATACATCAATTATTAAACGATTCCCTTCGTGTCCAGTGGGTGATTTTCTCATCATAATGTACATGAAGCAACAAATTCATGTTCAAAATCTTTTTATAAAATTTCCGAGAAAAGATTACAGGTAATCATGTAATTATATATTTTTAAAAAACTTTTTTCCAGACATAAATCTATATGATTTCAAATTTCGACATGTTTTAACGTCACTGCAAACATGTGTCTCAAATTATTTTACTGAAAGTGTTAAATTGGGTCGAAGTTTTGGAATGAAATTCTTTGCCAGTACATTTTAAAACTGATGCACAATCTCTTTGCTTTTGAAGTTCTGTTTTGAAGATTACATATTACATGCATAGTTATATTTTAATTCTATATTAAAACATATTGATTCTAAAAATATATTAATACTAAATGAGATTAAAATCCTTTTAGTAATGCATCAAAGTAAATTTTCATGGAGGATATGTATTAACAGTTCTCTAAAAAAAAATTACAATAATTTTCACGATAGAAGCTTTTCTGAGCCTTTTTGCTACTGGAAATTTGCACTAACTCTGATACTTGTTGAAGTGTCTCCCAGTAAGCCTATAGTGGGACAGAAGAGAAATGTCTACAGAGACTGGAGTGTCCACTTTGACTGATGTGTTCAGGTGCTTCCAGTTCCAGGGGGTCAACTTCAGTACAGCCTCAACATTTCCTGATATAAATATCACACAAAAAAAATGATAGATGAAATCTTTATATTAAAATATGCATTATATGGTGTGTTTTTTTTTGTATCCAGTTGAGAAGTTTTATGTAACATTTTAAAGCTTACAATGGTAAGAACGATTTCAGAATATCAACCTTTTCGGGTAGGAATGCGGTGCAATACAACCAATACCGTAAATATGGAAATTTTTACGTCGACTTATTTTTGCGAATCTGGGTCAAAAAGGTGTTGATTTATTTTTACGTTTCAAAATTTTGCGAATTGTCATTTGGGCAAAAATTAAAAAGCGCTTAAAATTTTCATAACATCTAATAAGTTACACATGTACATACAATAAATTACGCATGTTCATACAATATTAAAAGATGCCAACGTTCAATAATCAGAGAAAAATATTAGAAGAGATAAAACAACTAAATTGTATAAAGTTTGCATAGCATTTTATTAAATCACGCGTAAAATATATAAAACGGTTTCTTAATATGACCACTGCTTACGAACATTTATTCATCGCCGCACGGGTTAAAAATATACATCAGCTGTGAGCAAATTTTTGCTTACATTTTTTTGTTGTTGATTTATTTTAAGAAAAATATTTTTGCGACTGCAATGCAAATTTGCTAAAAATTTATCTACAGTAAAAATGTCCAGATTTACGGTAGTTGTAATGTGTAGAAAGAAACACAATACAACGTAAATATTTTGCATGTGAACCATGTTACTTGTCTGAACGTATTTCATCGTTTATTTAAAAGATATTTTATATATATACTTTCTTTGTAACAATTAAAATGTAACTTGGTACTTTGATTTCGTGACAGCGTGTGGTACGGTGTGATAATTGCATGTTTCAAAGTTTTATAAGATACCGGTTAGAGTGATTCCAAATATTTGAAAGTCTATGGTCTGGTAAGAATAAACACAGAAGAAATTTTGAATACACCATAGCAAAATTGTACTTTACATTGAATAAGCATATTTTACTACTATATGATTAAAATACTTTACCGATTTGAGATT